GCTTACCTATGCCCCCAAAATATTTCGTTCGCCAAGAGTTATGGACTCCTTGGGGTTTACTGTGCCCCCAAAACATACATTTCGTTCGCCAATGGTTATCGACCCCTTGGGGGTTTACTATGCTCCCAAAACATTTCGCTCGCCAAGGGTTATCGACTCCCTGGGGCTTACCTCTGCCCCTAAAATATTTTGTTCGCCAAGGGTTATCGAATTCCTAGGGGTTTACAGTGCCCCCAAAACATTTCGTTCGCCAAGAGGATTATCGACTCCCTGGGGGCCTACCTCCGCCCCCGAAATATTATATTATTAACCGGCATCATGCCGTCCCATGTGCATAAAAATAAAAACACATGCGATCAAAATGAAGGTTTGAAATCCTCAATGTTCGGTTCGAAATCAATGATCAAAATTAATGGTTGAAAGTCCTGGGGGACGCCCCAAAAACATATTATCTATGGGGTTGAAAATCCTGGAGGTGATCGGCCGAGCTCTTACACCAACCCGACCCCCGGGAAATTGTTGGTCTTCCATTATATGGTCTTCAATTATTGGATCTTCTCTTATTGGAATTCTTAAATGGTCCCCGCTTATTGGTCTTATATGGCATTCACTTATTGGTTCTCTCATGGAGTTCAGTTATTGGATTTCTCCCCTGGATTTCGAACTTCTATTTATAGTCTCCAGTGAATCACTACGTTCGGATCACTAAAGACCAGGGGGAGTATATGATGATGGCTAATTTAGCATTCTATTGGGCTCATATAAATCTTTGAGCTTGATTGGATTTCATTGGTGGGTCATGACTCAACTTTATCATGTTTAACGGGCTCAAAATTATGTCAAAGCCTCAATACTAGGTATGACTTATAAATACTCCATATTCTCCACCATAGAAGGTACGCTTTATTTTACACACTCTACACACTCCTTTACACACTAAAATACACGATCAAATCACATATCTCACGTCATCTTCTTCTCTATTTCGTTTTTCTATAATTTTTACTCTCTCTTGAACTATTTCCCCAATTAACTTGAGCGCCGGAGGGTCTCCCCGGGGCTCAAGCCCCGGGATTTCAGGTGAACGGAGCAATTTTCCGACGATCGAGATCGAGGAAGGTGTTCGAGAAGAGCCAATGTTGATGGTGGTTAAATAGACCGCCATCAAGCTCCTACATCTGATAAGATGTTTAAGGAGCTGATAAGTTGTTAGATCTTATTTTAAAAATTATTTTTTAAGGTGTTTGGATATGTTGATTATAAGTTACTTTTAGTTTTTATAAGTTGTTTAGGTGTTTGGAAATAGAAGGTCTCTTTATTGCTATAATGACAAAAAAGTACATGATGTCATTTATACCTGTCAAACTAATTTGACTCAAATACTTTTAAGTATTTACAAATTAAGTTTTCAAATAAAAATAATACTATAAAATTATATATATATTAAATAAACTAAATAATTTTTTTTATTTATGTTGATATTACATTTGACAATTTTTTAAAATAAAATGAAGTGTACTAAAATAGTTTAATGAAACAGATTTGTTAAAGTTTTAATTTTTTCCTCATTAATATATTAATATAAAATAAATTTTGTAAGAGAAATTTTTTTTTTTTATAAATAAAAGAAATATAATTAATTATTGAGATAATAACAATATTCGGGTAATTTTATATACATATAAAATATGAATAGAGAATAATTTATTTTTTACAATTATTATGATAATTATATTTTAACTAATAATTAATCGTGATTACAAGAATATGTTGTTTTGATAAAATATAAATTTAATTAGTATTTATGTAATATAATGAAGGAGCGTAATTTTGTATTTTGAGTGTGTTACTAAAAAAACAAATAAGATCTTAAAGAAAAAAGGTGGGGTGGAGGTACTCTTTTAAAAATATCTTATAAGCTTCCTAACAGTTTATGTTTGAAAAAAATAAGATCTTTTCTAATTTTTTACCAAATACTTTTTAACAACTTATAATTTCTTAAGCATCTTATAAGATGTTTTTAGGAGCTTATAAGCTTAGCCAAACATGCTCTTACTCTCTTTACTTATTTAATTTGTTTTTTAACATATTACTTTTGTTTCGATAGTTCAATAACACTTGTCTTATGGAGTAAAAGTTCAATAATATTATATAAGAAAAATGACATTTTTTTAAAACACGCTTAGGGCCCCGGAATCCGTTGGACCGGCCCCGTACACACATATCCCACCCATCTCCTCGACTCCTTCGACCCTATTCCCGATGATAAACACCAGAATGCTTCTTCTGCGGACACATGTCAAATTTCGCACAAATCAATCAATACAATCATGTTTTCAGAATTTTATTTCGAGCTCAAATTATTCAAATATATAGGGGTGAAAGTTGGAACAAAATTTTCACTTTCGGTCGGTTACAATTCGAAAAAGTTCCAGTTTTGAAACAACTTTTCTCATTCTGATATTACTGTTCGACTCCAATTTCATGGTTTACACCCCAATTTAGCCCAATTTCATCAATTAACCAATTTTGACCCGCTACCGCCGGAGACCTCTGGTCTGCGGAGGTGACTTTGTTTTTTTAAACTTGTATTTTCTTAAAAAAACCATTAATTAATATTACTGTCTTGGCTGCTAAATTACTGTCTCCAACAGTAATTTAACTGTCTAAGACAGTAACATTATAGTCTAAGGCAGTAATTTTACTGTATTAATTATGTTTATCGTCTTGGCCTGCAATTTTGCTGTCTTCGATCGTAATATTACTGTCTCCAACCGTAATATTACTGTCTCGTGCAATAATATTATTGTTTCATATAGTAATATTACTGTTCGGGAAAGTAATATTCATAATATTACTGTTTGGTACAGTAATATTAGTAATATTATTGTTTCGGACTGTAATATTAGTAATATTAATGTTTTGATATTCAATATTACTATCTCAGATAATAATTTTGTTGTTAACATAGTAATTTAGAGAGATAAAAGAAGTTCAGAAAAAAAAATCAACATCGGAGAACCGCCCGGTAACGCCGGAATCTGGCCGGAAAAAGAAAAAAAAGAAAAGACTTATTTTCCTGACAAAAAAAGTTCAAACAATTATGAAATTGGGGGTTAATGTAATATATTTGTTCAAATCTAGGGCCAATATGTAATATTGAGGAAGTTACAGTATAATAAATGGAATTGATAAAAAATATATTATGGAGAGTATTTTGGTCAAAAGACATGGGATGGGTTCATTCGTAAGCATGTTTTTTGTCTGGACCTATATGCATTTAAGTCCCTTGTCATAGGCCTATTTGCCATTCGCCCTTTTTATTTCTCCTTGGAGCTAATTATAGCCACTTATGAGGACTTTTAGTTAATCTAATAATTTTGAATTTATTAGATTAACCCGTTTGGCTAAGCTTATTTAAAACATCTTATAAGCTCCTAAATATGATAAGATATTTTAGGAGCTGATAAGCTATTAGATCTTACTTTAAAAATTATTTTTTAAGGTGTTTGGATATTTAGTTTATAAGTTACTTTTAGTTTTTATAACTTGTTCAGGTGTTTGGAAATAAAATGTTTGTTTATCGGTATATTGATAAAAAAATACATGACGCCATTATAACTGTTAAACTTATTTGACACAAATACTTTTTCTCCTAAAATATTAGTATAATATTATCAAATAAAAATAATAATATAAAATTATATATTAAATAAACTTAATTTTTTTTAATGTATGTTCATATGATATTTGATTATTTTTTAAAATAAAATGAAGCGTAATAAAATATTTTAATGAAACAGGTTTGTGAAACTTTTAATTTTTTGTCCCATTAATATATTAATATAAAATAAAGGTTGTAAAATAAGTATAACGTTTTTCGACAGGTAAAACAAATATAATTTATTATTGAGATAATAAGAATATTCGGGTATTTTTATATTATATATAAAATATAAATAGAGAATACTTCTTTTTTACAATTATTATGATAATTATACTTTAACTAATAATTCATTTTGATTACAAGAACACGTTGTTTTGATAAAATATATATGTTATTAGTATTCATGTAATATAATAAAGTATTTGAGGGTAATTGTGTATCTTGAGTCTTTTAGTAAATAAGCAAATAAGATCTTAAAGAAAAAAGTGTGGTAAGATGTACATTTTCTAAAACATCTTATAAGATGTTAAAAGGAGCTTATAAGATATTTTAGAGCTTATAAGCTCTTTCAAAGTGTTTGGTAAATTTTTAGAAAAATATCTTTTTTTTTTTTAAATAAGCTGTTGGAGAGCAAATACGATCTTTTTAAATAAGTACATCTACCCCACCTTTTTATTTAAGATCTTTTAATGCGTAGAAATAGGAAATAAGCTCATTATCCAAACACTTTAAAAATTAATCCTAAAAATTAACAGTTTATCAGCTCTTAAAACATCTTATCAGACGTAAGAGCTTATCAGCTGTTTAAAATAAGCTTAGCCAAACACCCTCTAATTAGTTTTGGAAAAAAATAAGACGTTTTATAAATTTTTTACCCAACACTTTTAAGAGCTTATAAACCCTTAAACATCTTATAACATGTTTTAATGTTAGGAGCTTATAAGCTTAGCCAAACATGTTCTAAACCCTAAGTCGGTAAACTTTTTTTTCCTATTTTTTACTCTTTTTTTTTTTCTTTTTGTTACGTCTAATAAAAACATAGCGGATTTTTTGGTTTTTTGTCCGTAGTAATGATAATATTATTATGAAGCCTTAAATAGATCAATTTAGTGAATCATATAATTAATTAATTATATATAAAAAATGAAATGGCAAGAAGATAAATAAATTATTAATTTGGAAGATAAAAAACATAAATATATCAATTTGAGTTTACATAAAAGAAAACCCATACCTAATTAATTATATGCTGAAATCTAAATTTAATTAAATATAAAAAAATCTAAATTAAATATCCTATATATGTATAACAAAACCACATTAATTCTGTAGATTAATTAATCATCAACAACTGGTGATGATTTTCGGACCTCCCTTTCTTGATCACTTTTTCCGGTTCGCTGATAAACAGATTTTCCAGATACGGGATTCGCTGATAACCCGTTTTAATTCTATAAATGCGGCGGAAGGAAAGTATATTCACATCTTCTTGAACAGTTGAAGCCATATCGCACTCGACGCGCTCGGAATTCGGTGGCCTACCGTTGAAATCGAACCACACCAACTCTTCTTCTTTTTCTCCGCCGCCTTCGACTTTGATCATCTGACAACGGCTGTTGTCGAAGCACAAATAAAGATAGCCCCCCACACAAGTCATGTACATGAACACGCCTCTTCTTTTCACATACGTTGGCTCGGGAAATCTCTTGAACTTTTCGTTGACCGAATCGAACCCGAATATCTTGATCCCAAAACAGTCATCTTCCTCGTTTTTGAGGATAAAAAACAAGTAGCCGTTCAAAGACACGCTTTTGCCAATTAATAATCCGCCGCCCAAAAATTCATCCGGGGTTTCTCTCATCTCGCTCCACCGCATGGCTCGACAGTAGTAAACCGCGTAGCGCTTGTAGTCGATAATTATCACCTTGTAGTCATTAATAGACGGATCGTAGCAGATTGCGTAAACCGTTTGATGCGAGTTGTATAATATCTCGTCGTAAGGGCAGTAGAACTCGACGTGGGTCCCGGTGGATAGATTGCATAGCACGTACTGGTTGTGGAGAAGTTTGCCGTATCGCCGAAGAGCTAAACCGTCGCAATAGCACAACACGCTCGGATCGAGTTTTTGTTCATGCTCCAATTGTTCGAGTCTCATCTTTGTCTGTATATGTTGAGGTATTTCGGTGACCCTTACTTGGGATTCGTATTTAAAGCCTCGCTTCTCGCGCCAGAAGAATATGTCTTGGTTGCCGGAGCTTTGTCGGGATTGCTGGAGATGAATTCCGACGAATCTTTCGCCGGAGATTGTGGCGTTCCATGACTTGCATACGGATTTGAATCTCAACAGAGATTTCGACGGCAGTCGAGAGAGGATGATTTCGAGGACGTCGTACGGCAGTTTCTCCTCGCTTTCGTCCATGGCGACAAGGATTTGTGTTTTTTTTGTTTTTTTTGTTTTTCTTCTTTGGCGTTCAGAATGAATCTTACTTATAAAATATTTTCAAAAAAGAAAAACGCAAACCTTACTTATAAAGTAAAATATTTTAAGTAGTGTTCTCAAAGGAAAAGGATACCTATAGTATAAGATCAATTAAAAAAAAAAACAAATCCTAGTTATAAAGTAATACTAAACCCTAAGTCGGTAAACTTCTTTCCTAGTACAAACACTTTTTTTTCTTCTTTTTGTTACGTCTAATACAAACATAATTACTAATTAGGGTAAATTACAATCAACCCATTGAGGTATGGTCAAATTACGAAAAACTCCCTCTTGTTTGGATAATTACAACCACTCCTCAACTATAAATCTTCTTACACGTCCACCCTTGCAGTTTCAAGTTTAGTGAAATTTTCTAGATGATATAGAAAATTCTCAATTTTGCACTCGTTTTACTATGAAATTTTTTGCTACGGTAAAAAACCGTAATAAAAGGTATTTTTTACTACGGAACAATTTTGAAGCCGTAGTAAATACTAGGATTTACCATAGCAAAAAAATATTTGGTAAGGCTATGTTGGAAATTTTGAGTATTTGACTCAAATTTTGTAGAATATTTAAGTGGTTTAATTTAAATTCTCAAAATTAATTTTTGATGAATGATAAATTAATGGATCATTTAAAATATTTAAGTGTGGAAAATAATAAAGTGAAATGCCACCATTGAAAAAGATGGAGGTGTTTAAGCACCTATTAAATTGAATAGGTGTGTGGTTAATGGGAAAAGGTGTGATACCTTTTCATGAAATTATTTTCCTAAGAATTGTGACTTGTGGTCATAACCTTTGAAAATCTATAAATAGATTCCAAAATCCACCATTTTATTAGTTCATTATACACATGGAAATCAATACATTAATTGAATTCACTTCTCCTCATAACATATCATTGCATATTGTTGCATTACCAAGTCCTTTTCTTCATGTCTTATAAAGTCCTAAACGTCGTTTCGTTCGCCGTGTTCCAATAATTGTTGTGCTGCTTTGTTGAAACTGAAATAGTCGTTGTATCTTGGGAGACAATTGCCGTAACCGAGAGCACTGCACGGGGCAAATTTGCCTTAAGGAGAAAGAACCGAGTTCTTGCCTCGACTGCATTTTTCTTGTCAAACTTTTGTCCAAATTTTCTTCGTTCTCATTTCAAAATACACACACCCAAATAACAATCTTAGAAAAAATTTTAGTTGTATTTTCGAGATGGAGAAGAAGATATTCCACTCAAAATCCAAGAAGTTACGAAATCAAATTGGAGGAGAATGTCATTTTCGGACAGAACACAACGTCTATGTTCCAGCCCATTTTAAGAGGTGATACGGTCAGAATCTGTAAAAGTACCATTTCACTAAAGTTGTAGAAAATCAAGTTATATTTCCAGAACATGTTAAATCAACCCAATCGGAGTTCATATGGAGAAGTTATGATGGAAACACAAAAGGGTGGCAGAAGTGCCAACGCAACTTTTCATGAATAATGCAACTGTTCGTAAGGTGATGCAACCCCAGCGTACCAACATGTCTCTAACACTTTATGGTGCACGAAATTTTGGTGAAAGAAGACCAAATCCAAGAATAATGATGGAATCATAAGCCTAAATATGATGAGGTATTATATTATTCTTGATTGTTAGAGAATATTATATTATAGAACTATTGTAATATTAGAATTCTAGTATGATTCGGTTACCTAGATTAGTTAGGATTTAGTTACCTAGTCAAACTCTATTACCTTGTTATATTTCTCTATATATATTCCATGTAATCAACCCATAACACAATGGGGGTTTCTATTACGTAATAATATTTCTCTTCTTCTCTTTCTTCTATTCTTCCTATATTGATTCATGAATATTATTTAATATTTTCGTGGTTCCATTGTAGGTGCAATCTTATACAGCACACATACTTCGACTTGGAGGCTTAATTTGATCATGATCCAGTCCGAATCTCAGAAAACTTAAAAGACGAAAGTTGTAGGAAATTTCGTTGTCTATTCGGATCATATTGAATCAACAAAATCGGACATCGGATGCTAAAGATATGAGTAAGTTATTCAGTGCTACCAAAACTGCCGATGCATTCCTTATGCAAGAATTTCAAATTCGTCCCAGAAGTTTGAAACGACACATTTATAATTATTTCGGGTACGTCTTTTATTTATAACACTGTATCTCATGCAATTAAGTGATAATATTATATGATAAATAATATGGTATTATATGATAAATAATATGGTATTATATGATAAATAATATGGTATCATATGAGATAGAAACATGTTTATGTTGCATGATAAAGTTATGGCGTAATAATATTGCACTATATGTTATAATTGACATGATAACATTATTTTTTTAGAGCATGATAAATCTTGAATGTTGTTATGCTTGAAGCATATATAGATACTTTGAATGTTATTTCGATATGTTGAGATGGATGGATTAATCTTGATATATGCATGAGATTTTGCTGAAATTCGTATGCATAATTTAAATTAATTTGTGCATAATATTATGAGATGTTAGTATTGTCGCACACTTGAAATAACATATAATAATATATTTTTTTTTGTTATGTTATATTATTTATATGATGTCTATGTCAATGAGTACATAGAATTAGAAGCATATGATATATGTTTGTTGAAGCATAATTTTATGAATTGGAAATTATGTTATAATATGTGATTGATTTATATGAATATTTATGCTATGAATATAAATGATTTTCAGCATGAATAATGATGTTTAATTGGATATTGGTTTATTGAATGTACGAATGGATTATTTATTCCATGTAAATTTTGAAATGCTTTTGTATGCATATATTATATGATGCATGTGAATGTTTGGAATTATTTAATTATGATTACGTGCATATATGTATGTTTATAAGCCCATGATTAGTTCCAAATGTTATGTTGTATCATAGACATTCATGATATTTGTGATATTATTATGCTTAAATTCAATATTTAGTATATTGAAGATCAAGTTGATGCACCTTTATCTTTGAATTGATAATTCCATATGTGTGCGCAATTAGAGGCATGTAATATTTGAAATTGATATACAATAGAAACTCAAGAAGCTCAATTTCTAAAGGAAAATTTGAGCAGTTGTTTTCTAAAAGAACATCGAAGATGATCGATCAATTGGATCGTCTTGATTTTTGGATATTGTATTCATAAGACATAAGTATACCTTATGAATGAATTTGATGATGTTGAACATCTGATCCATTTGTAAACAACAATGGTTGTTTTTTCTTACGTAAAATGTCAAACAATCTCTATACGAGAGATTATTGTGGCCAATTGCACCGTTGGATCAATATTTCTATATTGTGAACGGTAGGAGTTTCTAAACTCTAGATTTGAATTGTGTACAAACTTTCACAATTTGATAAGAACTTTCTTGATTTGAGTATCTTGAGAAGTTTCTTATAGTGTGTTCTATTAAGACAAAATAAACACAGTGTGTATAAAATTTAAATCACATTGGTGATTTAAAAGATTGTACAATTTATGACAAAATTATTTGTTACTTTTGTGGTATTTATACCAAAATTTTATCATGTGTCTTTGTTAAGTAACAAAGATGAGGCCTTAGAAGCATTTAAATGAGAATGATCATGGTATATGAATAAAAATTGTTATTCAAAGTGATTGACGTGGATGATATGAAATCTTTTTTTGACAAGTTTTGTACTTATCAAATTGCTAGTCATTATCAACCACAGTTGAAAGTATTGAGAAATGAAATACTCGAACTGTTAATGAGTAAGAAAGCCATGTTGATAATTCTGGAGTAAGCTAGAATTTGTGGGGGAGATTATGGCTCACCACTTTCTCATTATTTTACCACATAAAGGTTTTGGACCATAGAAATGTGGGGGTGTTTTGACTAAGGTAAATGTACCAAAGTTGAACAAGTTCAAAGAGCCTTAAAAATGTTGAAATGCATATTTATTAAATATGCCAAGTACAAAAGTGCTCAAGATAGTCATTCTTGATGCAAATAAATGTACGGTCTTTGAAATTAAATGTGTTTGAAAAATTGGATCTTGACCCAAGTTTGACAAACAATTTAAGTGAATTTCATTTGATAAGTTATGGAATAAAAGTCTACACTTTGACTAGATAAATCTAGTGTGTTTAATTTCTCAAACTCGACTAGGGGTGAATGAGAAATTAATTTATATGGAGGTGAAAAGTCACCATCCCACATTGACAATGAGTTACATTTAAAGCACTTTATTAAGTGCACATTGTTAGCCAAAGATATATCTCTATCAGATAAAGTGGTAATTTATAAAGTGATAAATAACCAAACACTCAATAAAAGAGAGCTAAGAAAACCAAAAGTTTGATTTTGATTTTCTAATTTATGAGTTAGAAATGAACCTCGAGCAACTAATGAAGTGTTGTCCAATTGGAGGTTAATTGTCTTTGAGACAAAGGAAAATCAGTGAAACTCTTATAGTATGAACTTAAATAAGTTCTAAAGCAATTGCATATTTGATAAGAATTTGTTATCAAATACTTATAAACTTGGCGAGTTTGAAAAGTACGTGTGTGATAAATGCGCATAAGAGTACATGTTTTTGAGTAAATGACATGTTAATCATGCGATTTAATCATGGTATTATCATGAAAACTAATGAAATATTAGTAAAAGATTTCAATGTGGAAAATATGGTCCCATTGATGCAATCTTATTGAGATTAAAATCACTAAGGATTTTATGAATTATTGGAGTCTCTTTATGTTGAGACAATACTAGTCATATTGAACTCGTCAATATAAGACTAAAGAATAGTGGTGAACAATGGTTCAACTAAAAATATTCTTCAAGAGATTGTAGTTTAATGAACTACATGATGATTGACTCATTAAGCAGTCAAGTAAATATGTAATCCTATATGTAATAAGTTGATGAACTAATAAGGTTTATTGGAAGTACAAACGTAAATTACATTATAGAAGATATCCAATTGTACTTGAAAAATAAATTCATACGAATTGGATATGTGCTGCTAAGATACTAAGTCCATAAATGATTTTGTATTGTGAACGTCCTCAAAATAAATGTATAACTCGATTCACTATGGAATTCGAGACATAACTTGAAAGTTAAAGAAAAATGTTGGGTAACTCCATAATTTTCTAGAGGACATTATGTGATGAACTTAGTTGGTGCTTGAAAATAATTTTAGTAGTCAGTTGGCTATACAAAAGAGCACAAAATAATATGTGAAATGGTAAAGTCTCGATCGCAGATCTTACACCATTTAGCAATTGATCTCTAGTGAAATTATAAACGTTGACTTTACGAAGTCAAGAGATAATTTGGTTGATCCTTGACGAAGGAATCAATAGAGATCAAATGCTAGTTAGTGATGGGAATGGGTCCATAAACCCACAACTCAAACGAAAATCCATGATGGTAACCCAACCTTGTAGATTGGAGATCCCAAGATCTTGGTTCAATGGGACAACTAAGTTATGGAAATTCAAATCGAGCACTTGGAAATAATTCATACCACTCCCTAAAATCCAAGTGCTACCTGTCGAATGTGGTAAGGTTAAGTCTAGTGACTTTTAATGATTCCTATGACCTTTTTAAGGTGGAATACGGCAGGGTATTCTTTATGAGAGATCACCTATTTAAGTGTGAAGTATAGGGCCGCTTCAACGAAACACTTATGAATCCAAGAATTGGTCCAAGGCCGAAATGGACACAACGTGAGAACAAACGACGTTAGAGATGTTATTGTGTAAGTGTTGTTGTCTTGGTTTACACAAAAGTTGATTAGTTCAAGACATTGCGTTCACTAAACAACAAGTAAATCCGACAACATTTTACTAAGGAAGGTTCAAAGCCATAATAAGCTACCTCTCCCGATGCAATAACAAATCGCTTCGACTTTGAATGTGTCTGCATGCATTAATTTCATTCATGTGGGGGATTGTTGGAAATTTTGAGTATTTGACTCAAATTTTGTAGAATATTTAAGTAATTTAATTTAAATTCTCAAAATTAATTTTTGATGAATGATAAATTAATGGATCATTTAAAATATTTAAGTGTGGAAAATAATAAAGTAAAATGCCACCATTAAAAAAGATGGGGGTGTTTAAGCACCTATTAAATTGAATAGGTGTGTGGTTAATGGGAAAAGGTGTGATACCTTTTCATGAAATTATTTTCCTAAGAGTTGTGACTTGTGGTCATAACCTTTGAAAATCTATAAATAGATTCCAAAATCCACCATTTGATTAGTTCATTATACACATGGAATTCAATACATTAATTGAATTCACTTCTCCTCATAATATATCATTGCATATTGTTGCGTTACCAAGTCCTTTTTCTTCATGTCTTATAAAGTCCTAAACGTCGTTTCGTTCACCGTGTTCCAATAATTGTTGTGCTGCTTTGTTGGAACTGAAATAGTCGTTGTATCTTGGGAGACAATTGCCGTAACCGAGAGCGCTGCACGGGGCAAATTTGTCTTAAGGAGAAAGAACCGAGTTCTTGCCTCGACTACATTTTTCTTGTCAAACTTTTGTCAAAATTTTCTTCGTTCTCATTTCAAAATACACACACCCAAATAACAGGCTATTTACTGTAGCAAAGCTTTTGTCACGCCCGTTTATGGTACGGGGCAAATTCGTAACAAATGCCTTTTTAGTATGAATTTCATACTTTTTTACCACGGATAATGATCGTAGTAAAAAAAACCATTTTTCTACTAGTGAATGGTGCTCTGATAGCAAGTACGGACCGTAAAATTTTCCGGATTTATAAAAATGCCAAACCCAACGATCACGTGCATTTTGGGACCCCATTGGGACCGCCAAGATCCTTGGTCTATCAACTGGCCAGAATAGAAGAATGGTTATGATAAGGCAACAATTATCTCTCCATCAAATAAGCCTGCAAATCATCATCAATCAAGCTTAATCACATCTCCAAGAATCAGGCAGCCCTTGAAATCATCTTGTAATTAATATATAATATTCTCCATTAAGTTTGTAGCTTTAATCTTCATGTAATAGTAATTGTAACTGCAAGTTGCTAACTTGTATATATAGGTGCCGAACTATACAGATGAAATACACAATTCATTATCACATTTTAAAGTATTTTACATGGTATCAGAGCCACTAATTTATTTTTCCAGCTTCTTGCTTTCTTCTTCTTTTCACCACTTTCATCATGTCTACCCCCACCATTACCACCTCAACTACTGATTCATCCTCCTCCTCTCCTCCTCAAGTTATTTCACTCAACACAGCTACACTCATACCCCAAAAACTCACCGGACCAAATTATTCCATGTGGAGTTCTCAAATGACCAATCTCTTTCTTGGTCATGACCTCATGGGCTATATAGATGGGACTATCCCGTGTCCGCAAGCAACCACATCAAAATTTAAAGTTTGGGTTCGCCAAGATCGTTTACTCCTCCTCGCTTTTCAAACTGCCGTTCTTGGATCAGCGGGACCTCTCATCACTAGATGTGTCTAGTGCGACCTCTCAAGAAGCATGGAACACTCTCGCAACAACCTATGCGAATAAGTCGAACACTCGCACTATAAGTCTAATTGACGCTCTCACTAAAATTCAGCAAGAAGGCAAAACCATGTCTGAGTATCTACAGTCCGTCAAAACGATCATTGGCGATCTTACTGCTATTGGTCACAACATGAGTGATGGATAAATCGTCGTTCACACTCTCAACAGGCTTCCCAACTCTTACAAGGAAATCAAGGCTGCATTAAGGGCTCGACAAACACCTATTTATTTTGACGAATTGATGGAAAAATTGCTCGACTATGCGACAAGTCTCAAGCACTCAATCGTTGCTCCAGAAGATACTCCCATCACTGCCCGCTTCTCTCAAAAGCAGCCTTACAAAAAGGGCAAATTTCATTCTTCTCAATCTCGTCAACCATCATATGGAGGTACCAACAATATTTATCGTGGAATTCCAGGTAATTCGTTTCAACAAAATGGCTCTCGTGGCAATTATTCTAGCCCCCAAACTCGACTTGTTTGCCAATTATGTGACAAAGTAGGTCATGTTGCCAAGTTTTGTCGGTCTAGACCTCCACCATCCAACCGGCCACAAGCGAACCTCGCAGCCCGCTCCTGCACGAGCAACAATTCGGGTTGGTTAGTCGATTCAGGGGCTTCTCATCATATTACTTCAGACTTACAAAATCTTTCCATTCACTCCGATTATGGTGGTAATGAAGATATAATTGTTGGTGATGGTAATAATATTCCTATTACTCACATTGGCTCTACGGACCTTAAATCTTATAATACTACTTTCAAACTTAATAATGTTTTGTGTGCACCCAAAATTAAGAAAAACCTTCTTTCTGTTTCTCAATTGTGTTCCCAAAATAAAGCTTCTATTGAATTTTTCTCTGATTTTTTCCTTGTCAAGGATCTAATTACGTGGGCATATTTGGTGCGAGGCCAGAGTAAGGGAAATGTCTACGAGTGGCCGACCTCTATACCAGATTCATCTCAAACCATCTCTTCCTTAGCATACACGGCAACAAAGTCCAACTTCTTTCACCGTCTACCCTCCAGCATATTATTTCTTCCCCTGCCTTAAGCAAACTACTCCAGGTGGCGGACGGACGAAGCCCAACCGCCGCACGAAGAATGTCGCCAAAATCTTATTGTTACAACACCTATAATTTTCAATTGATACACACAAACAAATATGTAAAAAAAAAAATACAATGATTCTAAAGTTTGAAAATACCTTCTCCATAGAACGTAATCTTAAAATTACCAATATCATTTTTAGAACGTAATAATATTAATTAAGATTCCCTCGTGAGAATCCATTGGTGTTGCTGGCGGGAAGCATTTGCTTTGGGCCCCCAACGATCAAGGGCCTCCCACAAAAAAAAATATGGTTATTAAAAAAAAAAAAAAATATATATATATATATATATATATATATATATATATATATATATATATATATATATATTTGAAAAATAAAATGGTAGATGTAAATGTAGTAAATACTGGTCTATAAATTAAAAAAATATGGTTATTTTTCTCTTTTTTGGGTGGGCCCAAATATCCAAATTCAAACAACAATAAAAAATAAAAGCTAAAAATTGCATACCTTATATGAGTAGAAACGATGCCACAGGAATTGCTTCTCTGGTTCTCACATTCGGCAAATTCCGAATAAAATATTTTTGTTCATTAAATTTGGGCATTTGATATATAATATATAATGAACTTCTCGATTTTTTGCATCAAATTTTAACAAAGGTAATAAATTCGTACATTTTTTCGTTTCCCAGAAGTAGTCACTCTCTTCACTACTTAATTTAGTTTGTTTTTTAACATATTACTTTTGTTTCGATAGTTCAATAACTGTTGTCTTATTGGGAAAAAGTTCAATAATATTATACAAGAAAAATGACTTTTTTTAAAAAATTCGCTTAGGGCCCCGGAATCAATTGGACCGGCCCTCTATGCACAAATCCCACCCATCTCCTCTGCTCATTCGACCCTACACTCGGTGATAAACACCGGGTGCATCTTCTGCTGATACGTGTACTTTTTTATATTTTTCTAAAAGCCCTACATGTTAACCCAATAATTAAATATGACGCATATCGGCAGAAGACTCACTCAGTGTTTATCACCGGGTGTAGGGTCGAAAGAACCCATCTCCACAATGCTCCTCCAAATCCCTCGTGAGAACATTTAATTAATTAAGGGTTAGTAGATCACTAATCAAAAGTATATAATTTTTTATATTATAAATTATTTAATTGAAATATCTCTAAAAATTAGTTTTTATAATATAAAAATATATAAAATTAATAAAATATATAAACATGTTGGATATGGGAGGTAAGAGTGCATATTATTAGAAGTGGTGAAGGATAAACATTGAAGAAGAAGAAGAAGAATGAGAAGAAGACGAGAGAAGCAAAATATCGTAATTTTATTAATGGAAAGTCCGAGCTACCACTCAACGTTAACTACTATATATATACTATATAAAGACTGACTAACTAATATTTATATTTACAGAGCATTATATCCAATGCAGAGATAAATTCTTCACGCGTTTATAAGTTTATAAGTTGTACAAAACACAACTTTTGTTCTATAGCATAAAGTGCTACAAGCTTTTATAAGTTGTACAAAACATTACTCCCCCCTCAAGATGGACTATACAAGGGGTGGGAACGAGCCGAGCTAGACACGGCCACGGGCCGGTTCCGGCCGGTTCCGGCCCGGTTCAAACCGGTTCACGGTTCACATTTTCCGGAACCGAAACCGGCCCGTAGTATGGGCGGTTCGGTGGGCCGGGTCGGCCCGCCGGTTCGGGCCGGTTCCGGGTCGGCCCGGAAATTTTGAATTTTTTTTTTTTTAAATATTTTATGAATAAGTAAATTAAAAGAAATACTTTTAAATAGAAAAAGAAAAAGGAAATAAATGAAAAGACTTGAACTCAATTTTAAATTCAAAATTTTAAAGATTTCGAATTTATAGGAAAATATGGGGGGAAAAAAAATTCAAAAAAAAGTAAATAACGGCCGGTTCACCCGGGCCGGTTCGGGCCGGTTCACTAGCCGTTATTTGCTTTTTTTTGAATTTTTTTGATTTATTTATTTATTATTTTTTTTTTTAAATCCAGGTGAACCGCCGGGCCGGCCCGGCCGTTTACGGTTCACCATTTCTAAAAACCGGGCCCGTCCCGGGGAGGACGGGCCGGTTCACGGGTCCGGGCCGGTTCACTTGGTCAACGGGCCGGTTTGGGCCGTCAACGGGCCGGTTCCGGGCCCAAAACCAGCCCGTGGCCGTGTCTAAGCCGAGCTCGGCTGTTTTGGCCAGCTCGAGCTCGAGCTTGAGCTCATCGAGCCAATTTTTTTTTGCTCGAGCTCAGGCTCATTTAATTATTTATTTATTATATTTTTTTTATTAAATCATTTAATTTTTTATGAAAAAATATTTATAAGAAAATTAAAAAAAATTATAAAACAAATAATAAACTCTAGTTATTTTTTTTTAATTTTTCTATTATTATTATTATAATATTTTATATTATTATGAATTATCTTAGTATTATAGATTTGTCGAACAACTAAATTTTGGCTCGAGCTCGTGAGCTCGAGTTCGAGCCTTTGTCGAGCCGGCTCGACTCGTTTACCACCCCTAGACTGTACACATCTTGATAGCCATCTTGGACAATAGTTGCTGGAACCTTGTGTGAGGCAAGGCATTGGTAAATAAGTCTGCCAATTGGTTCTCTAACCGAATAAGAAGCAGTTTGAGAATACCCTCGGTGACTTGTTCTCGGATAAAATGACAATCGATTTCGATATCCTTAGTCCGTTCATGAAAAATAGGATTGCTGGCAATGTAGATGACTGATTGATTGTCACAGAAGATAACGGTTGGAGAAGTGAGAGTAACTTAAAAATATTGTAAAAGATGATCGAACCAAATCAACTCACTGGCCAAAGAATCCAAAGCTTTGTACTCAGCTTCTTCTGAACTTCTAGAAATAGTGGATTGATTTTTAGCTTTCCAAGAAATCAGGGAGTCTCCTGGGAATACACATAAGCCAGTTGTAGATTTTCTGATGTCTTGACAACATGCCGAATCTGCATCACCAAAAGACTTGAGTGAGAGTGCAGAATTGGCAGAGAAAAATAATACCTTGTCCTGGATCTTTCTTCAAATATTACTAGATCCTTTAGTAAACAATGTGTAATCAGTCTTAGACTGTACAAAACCTAATTGTATCGGAGCCTTTGTTAATTTGACATTCTACTGTCTGGAAGCTTGTTTCACAAGCCAGAGAGAGACTTAATCAGTTTACAAACAAGAGATTTATTTCTAGCTGGAAGGAGAACCACATACAAGGTATGGAAGGGGAAAGGGGTTTCTTTGAACCAGAACTTTTTTTGGGTTCTGAAAATCGAGGAGCTACCAAAACACGGGGATAAATCGGGGAATAAAGAAATAGTGGGTTTTGATTCTAGGTCTGAAAAGTTGATCAAATTGCCGAGACCGAAAAACACAAAAACGCCACGGTTTTGTGTTTGTGCATCAACCAAAATAGTCATCGGAGGATCAAAATTGGAGTAGAAAACGCGTAGAGGGAGTTCGAAGGAGAGCTACCGTTGCCTAAGTAAGGGGAAGAAGATCTACGATTGACTCCGCGGTACGAGAATATAGATCAAGGTAGGTTACTCGACTACTACAATGGGTTATTACTTATTATCGACTCCCGTATCTCAAAAATCTGTTATTCAGCGAGCGGGAACATGCCCTCAAGAAAAAGAAAAAGAAGAAGAAAAACAAAAAATTACGGATTATTGGGTTTTTGTTATATTAGAATAGGTGATGGAATTTAGTTTTGTTTAGGAACGTTTGTTTTTTAGCAGATTGATGATTATTTAGATTAAATTTTAGATTTACTTTTTTACAATATGTTGTTTAGTTACATTCTTAGCAAAAGTTTGTGTTTAACTATTAATCAATCAATACAATCATGTTTTCCAATTTTATTTTGAGCTTAAATTATTTAATATATATAGGGGTGAAAGTTGGAACGGAATTTTCAATTTCGGTCGGTTACATTGAAAAAGTTTCAATTTTGAAACAACTTTTCTCATTATGATATTACTGTTCAGCTCCAATTTCATGATTTACACCCCAATTTAGTCAATTTCACCAATTAACCAATTTTGATCATTACTCCAATTTTAACCCGCCACCGCCGGTCTCTGGAGTTGACTTTTTTTTTTTTTAAACTTGTTTTCTCTTAAAAAAATATATTTTAATTAACATTACTTTCTTGACTGCTAAATTACTATCTCCAACAGTAATTTAACTGTCTGAGACAGTAATATTATTGTCTCAAACAGTAAATTTACTGTATCAATTAATTTTATTATCTTGGCCTGCAATTTGTTGTCTTCGACCGTAATATTACTGTCTCTTGCAATAATATTATTGTTTGAGATAACAATATTAGTAATATTACTGTTCGGAAAAGTAATATTTATAATATTACTGTTTGGGACAGTAATATTAGTAATATTACTGTTTTGATATTCAATATTACTATCTCAAATAATAATTTTGTTGTTAACACAGTAATTTAGAGCGAAAAAAAAAGTTAAGAAAAAGAAAGTCAACGCCGGAGAACCGCCTGTTCAACGCCGGAATCTGGCAGGAAAAAAAATATACGAACATAAATTATTTTTGAAAAAAAAAAATCAAAAATTTGTGAAAATGGGGGTTAATGTGATATATTTGTTCAAATCTAGGGTCAATGTGTAATAATTAAGGAAGTTAGAGCTTATGGATGGGATTGATAAAAAATATATCATGGAGAGTAATTTAGAAAAAAAAAAAGCATGGGATGTGTTTATTTAAAGGGGAAATTTGCTAGACAGCCCTTATTTTGGACTTATATAGGTAGAGAT